CCGCCGGCAGCCGCGGCCCGCCCCCATTGGCCGCGCGGCGGGCGGCGCGCGCCCCCATTGGCCGCGCGGCGGGCGGCGCGCGCCCCCATTGGCCGTTAGCTGATAGCGGAGGTTGGGGGCCGGCCGGGGCGGTCCCGCCGCGGGGACGTGTTGCACAACGCGGGGACACGGCTCAGCTTTGTCACCGGGACTTTATTGGAGCTGCCCCGAGGACCTCCGGAAACCCGGAGGAAAGGGAAACGTCCTCCACCCCAGCCAGGAGCACCAATCTGGATCCCCAGCTCAGTGTCGCAGCCTCCCGCCGCGGCACTTTCCTGGCTCCTCAGAAAAGGGTGTTCATCAGGGTCTGCGCCTGCTTCAGCTCTGCAGAGAGAGGACGGAGATATGGAGGAGCTGCCGGTAGTGCAGCCTCTCTCCCTCTGCAGAATCCCCCCACTGCCACCCCTCCTGGCGCCTCACCTGCCAGCAGCACCCAGAATTTGTTGGCCGAAAGCGTCACAGGGACAGCCGTGGTCTTGTCGCACTCCGTGTCCCGCACGTTGAAGGTCAGGTGCACCACGGGCTCATTGACCTCCTGCAGCTCGCTGGAGCTGAGGGTGTAATCCACCCGCCAGCGCACTGAGCCCAGCTGGCTCACTAGGGCGGGCAGTGGGATGGTGTCGGTACCCCGGCTCACTGCAGCACACCGACCCCCACAGCCCTACTGGGACCCGACACCGCACTCACATCGCAGGCTGCACGCCCTGAGCCTGTCCTGGAGGGGGCTCTGCTTCTCCTCGTAGGAACGGCACAAGCCGCTGGCGTGTTCTGCTCGTCAGGGGACACAAGAGAAGAACCCTTCTGCTCACAGCAGACCTGCAGCTGCCAAACCCCACCAAAGCACCTGAGGAGCCCCCAGGGACCGAAGGCTCAGAAGGGAGGTGATGGAGGACAGCACAGCAGCCAGCCTGCCTTCATCTGGGTGAGAACTGTCAGCAACATCCCACCACGTCTGGCTCATGGTGCCAGCCCGAGACTTTCCCCTACCTTTGGGCAGTCCCAGCTGCTGCAGCTCACTTGACAGAGACTCACTGTCTACATTGTGCTTGGCTGCACTGGAGAGGATGAAGCCGAGGACAGCGATGGTCGCCTTCACATCCCCCGACTCTGCAGATGGGAGGGAGGGTGAGCTCTGTCACCTTGGGAAGGCATCCGCAGATGCATTGCTGCCCATCCCTGGAGCATGGCTCCATCGGGGCATCCTGGCAAGGACAGCAGCACTCACCTAACTTTGCATCCGAGGTCAGCTTCAGGATCTTGTCATACTGTGGGAGAGTAGAGCGTCACAGTAAGCAGCTAACACACGCACTACCAGTGCCAACACTAACAATTCCCACATAAATATTAGTACTAATAACGCTTATTATACATATTATTACTACTAGTAGAGGCCGGTACCGTTCTTAACGCTGAGGCTTCCATGAAGAACACGAGATTAATTAACATTGTATTGCTGAAACACTTGGCCTCCACTGCACTACCCCCACACTTACCTCGATGGCCTCCCCCAGCAGGTCCCGCAGCACTTGGGCGCAGATCAGCTTCAGCTTCACCGAGGACTGTGGGGGAGAAGGAGGGTGAGCAGGGGGCCCGCGGGGGCGGGCAGGGGGACGCGGGGGGCTCGGGCACTTAACTATTTTGGCCAGGGTGCTGATCTCGGCCAGCACCCAGTCGGGGCAGTCCAAGTCCCCGCAGAAGCGGAAGCGCTGCGGGGGAAAAGGCAGTCAGAGCCCGCAGCGGGCTCCGCACCCGCTCCCCGCCGCCAGCCCCCATCCCCACCATGTCGCCGCCGCTCCCTGCTCCGTGCTGCTATCGCAGAGTCCGCCTTTGCGACCCGGAACCACTCCTGGGCGGGCTGCCGGCTACTCCCCTGCCCCGGGTGCCGCCGGGGAGCTCCGGTAAGGGCTCTGCGGCGGCGCTTTAGCCGGGAGCGGGGCCCGGAGAAGGGACGGGGGTCTCGGGAGCGGGACCAGGGCGACCGCGGGCCCTTCCAGCGCCCCTGGCTCCGCCCGACTGAGCCCTCACGGCTTCCGCCAATCCCGGCCCGCCTTTCTCCTCCCTGGCCAATCACAGCCGCCCTTTCAATCCGGGCGCGGCCCGGCCCCTCAGCCCGGCAAGGGGCGGTGGAGGCACCGCCTCAGCCCCGCACTCGCTCTCCCAGCCCCGCGGCCACAGGGCCGGAGCGGGAATGTGGAGCTCAGAGCTGCGGCTGAAACTTAACAGACCTCAGCCCGAACTAGAGATCCTGTTCTGCTGCATAAGCAGCTGCACCTGGCCGCAGGGGGAAGGGGCACAGCGGGCAGGGAAATAAAGTTCTGTGAGAGCGGAGGTGAGGTGAGTAGAGCTGGGATCCCATTGAAGGGTTTATAAGGACTGTGGGGAAACGACGCTGATGTGGGGTAAAATTCTGATTGTGGAGCTGAAATAAAACTTATTATTTCAGGCTTACCTGAAATAGAGACAGCGGTGCTGAAGGTGAAATAAAACTTGTGGTCAGGGAGAGGCAAAATACCGATGGTGGCACTGCGGCTGGGATAGGGCCTGCAGAGCCAGAGGGAAACAGCACCCAGCTTAATCTGAAATAAACACCCTGGGGCGCTCAGAGTGCACAGCAGGAGCTGCTGGCAGGGCTGGGGCTCAGGTAAAGCCTGGGGGAAGCAGGCTCGGGGCTGGAACAAACACGCCAGGACCTGAAATAAAATCCAGTGTGCTGGAAGGAGAAGCACCTTCTCCAGGAGAAGTGGAGCTGGAAAAGTGACTGTGGGGCTGGCATGCAGATTCTTGCTTTTATAACTCACCAACAGTGGGGTTGTTAGCCCAGAGCTAGAGAGGACCAAGCCCAGCATGCTGGCACCAGTTAGAGCAGAAGCACTTGGCTGTGAGGGTACTGGGAGCCCAGGGAGGAAGGCTGGTTGCCCACAAAGGGAAGAGGGTTCAACAGCACCTCCACAGAAGACACACATCCTTCACAACTGGGTTTCACGGTCTACAAATGTTTATTTCAGATACAAAATTATTCCTTTACACACCTAGGTGTGCATTCTGCTCAGGGAGCACCTGGCAGCTGCTGCCAGGTGATCAGGGAGAGCTTCTCAGCATCTCCTTCCCACCTACAGCCCCTCTCCAAGCTCCCCCCAACAGCTGCTTCTTCTATCCTCAGGCAGAGGTGCTTTGCCACTCCATGTGACCATCCTCAGGGTCCTGCAGGGAAGAGGGAAGGAGTCACTCTAGACACCTCCAGTGAAGGCAGTTGTGAGGGTCCCTTCCCTCCAGCTCTGCACAGGTTTCTCCAAGCCCAGAGATGATCACCAGCTAACAGAAGAATATGGGACCTGCAGAAACACCAGCTCCCAGGCACAGAAAATAATCCAAGGGCAGCAAAGGCCACTCACCTCTGTCCAGAACCCCTGGTTATCCATTTCTAACGTCTGGATCCCCACTTCAGGGTCTCTTCTGTCCCAAAGGGCTCTTCCATCCTGCCAGCCCAGCCTCTTGGTTCCCAGGCACTAGGGAGGAGAGCACAGGGACTGCAGCCCCAGCTGGCCCCACAGAGTCCCCCTCAGCCCAGCCCACACAAGGGCCCAGGGCTGCTCATCCAGCTCAGCAGACAGAAGTGGCCCTTACCACGAGCACGACGGGTGCAATGATGATGCAGAGGCCACCTATGACCATGAGGGCCACTCCATAGGCTGGGAAGCCCGGCTCAGGCGAGGGACGTTCCAAGGTGTCATCTGGAGCAAAGCACAGCATTTAGAGCCTGGAGCAGCCAGCTTTGCCCCACAGGGTGCCAGCCACCCACTCTGCTCCAGTACAAAGATACGAGATACAAAAACACCTGTTCCACACCCTTCATGCCTTTTCCTCCCATCCTACTTCAGCAGATCTCCAACCCCAATCCCCCAGGCTATGCAAAGGGAAAGGGCACAACTGTTACTGAAGTTTTTCTTCCTGGTCACCTCAGCAGCCAAGACATGTGAGCCTGTCTTCACACAAGGGATCAGGATCTGGTCAGCCATGGATCTCCTCTGCTCACAGTGGAGACATGGGGCTTGTGGAGCTCACATACCCACATCCCAGAGGGGAGCTTACCTCCCACAGAGAGGGAGAATGGATCCACATGGATGTCCGAGTCAGCCAAAGCCTGGTTTGGCCCAACTGAGAGCACAAGTGTTGCCAAAACTTCCATGCTGCTTGGAGCAGGGTGTTGGAATATCATGTTCCCGTGGCAGATCAAGGAGCCAGGCCTGCAGACAGGGTTGGGAAGAGCTCCAGCAGCTGCCAGTCCCATCATGACCCCACAGCAGGACACGGTGGGCACACCCAGCCTCCTCCCAGAGGGTTTTGATCAGCAGGAAGAGCTCTCTGCACTCAGGGAGCCATGGGAGGGAAGTCCAGCAAGTCACCACTGAGTTAACCAATGGGTTAATGCTTGACCTCAGCTTCCTCTGCAAATCCTTGAGTAGCCAAAAACATGCACCTGTCAGCCATGACCTGTTGGCTGATGTCTGAAGGGAGACCTCCCTGCCCCAGCAGAACCCCTGCTCCCACTCACAGGAATTCTTTTATGATCACTTTCAGGAGGGTTGGGTAATCCTTCAGGGCTCTCATCACCTGGAAGAAAGGTTGTGCTCAGCTCCCCGCCAGCTTTTGGGGGTGTTTGGACACCCCAAAGCAGCCCTTCTTCCTCTCATGGCTCTTCTCACCCCCTCTTCCCACCAGCCCCATTCCTACCGCATCACCAAGGTCCCTGGAGAGGTTGTGGTGCTCTTCAGAGAGTGGATCCTGAAGCTTCTGGCTGAATTGTCTGTTGGTGACGAGTAAGGAGAGAGGGTACACATTCAGACCAAGCTTGGACCCTGAAGGAACAAGAAACAAGAGCTGGGTGTGCAGATCTGGCAGCAACCCTGCCCACACCACTCACAGGCTCCATCCTTACCCTCCACCGAGAGGGAGGTCAGGTCCATGGAGAGGCCTGAGAGTGCAGTCAGGGCTTCCAGAACCTCTGTAGTGTCAGCATGGACAACTGTGTCTAGGTAGAGGTCTCCAGTGATCTCCGTGTTCCCACTGAGGTTTCTGAGGGGAGAGAAGAGCCCTGAGCAAGGCAGGAGGGTTGGGACCCAGCTCCAGCACCTTTACTGGTGGTTTTCTCCTGAGAGCCCACAGAAGGTGCTCAATTACACTTTGCTCCTAGCTTTTCCCATCCTTTTCAGCCTTGCAGCACAGCTAAACAGCTGCAGAGGGCACAGGAGACAGTGAAGGTAGGGAAATGATGTTGGCAGAGGAGCAGCTGCATCCCATACCTGAGCTGGGAGATGGTGAAGTTCCTCACATGGTAGAGGGCACTGACAGATGAAGTTATCTGGGCAGGGAAAAGACAACAGGTCACACCTTCCCCTGTTTAGCTCAGGTTATTCCACCACCCAGGCAGCCTGTGCCCATTCTCCCAGCATCACCCTTTGGAAGGGCCCCCAAGGCTTGGCATACCTCACTGACCAGCCTCTCCAGAGGACCCATCCTGCTCATCCCCAGCTGGGAGCCAGTGAGGGAGATGGACAGCTTCTCCGGGTCCAGGTTCTCCAGGCTGAAGCCTAAGGGAGGAGTTTGGAAGAGTTATGCTCATACTGGCTCTTCCATCTTCCTTGGGAGATCTTGTTCAGCCTTGAGCTCATCCATAGCCACACACCAAAAGCAGAGAGCAGCAGGGCAGCTGAGTGAGGAGGAATTCCTTTGAATGTGGGAAGGGGTCAGGATGTACCATTTCCCAGGGAGTCGAGCAGAAGCACTGGCCCACACAGGTCCAGCTGCTGCAGATGTGCCTTCCACCACCCTTAACATCCTTACAGTGGTTTTCCACAGGCCAGGAGAAGCGATGTTAAGTGAAGGAAAAGCCTGGAATCCAAACTGCACTGGTTTGGGCTTTGAGAGAGGCACAAGGAGGGCACTTGGTGGCAGCAGCAGCCCTACTGTGGGAAGATCTTCAGGACTTACCACCAGACTGGACAGACTGGGGCTCCAGCTGCCAGCTGAAGATGCTCCTTCCCTTGCTTGCCTCTGTGACTACTGTCCGGATGAGGTGGGAGCTGGTGGGAGCAGGAACATCTCCCCGGAACAAAACCTCCCCTCGCACCACCACAGAGCCATTCCTGGGTGGGAGAGAGAGGAGACAGTGGGAAGAACAACCTGCTGCTTTTTATTTTTTTCCCCAGGTACATTTATCCAGAAATTCAGACAGGGATCCCTTTGGGATGATGACACCAGAGGGGAGCATAGCCTCTCACATTGACCTGTCTGGAGCATTTTCCTGGGGAAACCCTTCCCTCCAAGCCAAACCTGCAGCAGCTTGGGAAAAAAAACCCAACAGAGACCACTGCTTCTTCCAGCAGAATCCATCTCTATTACATACACTCCAGTATTGATATGTTTCTAACGATGGGAAAGGTTAAAGAAAGTCTTGGGAATGCATAAGGGGAAAGACAAAACAGCCACACCACCAAACATTAATTAGAGCAGAATTTCTGCCCTTATCAGCCACCTACTCAAACATCAACCTCCCAACGTTGTGGGAGGCAAAGGAAAAACTTTCACTCGAGGTGTTTATGGCTGTGGTAATTCCTCTGGAATGCACTTTTCCCAAGAGAACAGAGTCTTCAAAGTTAAGTGTAAAAAGTAGCTCTTCTACTCTCCCTAAGGCCAGGGTGGCTACCACAGGCTGCAGCTTCTACAAAACCCACCCATCCACATCAGCTGCACACTCACATGAACTCAAGGACATTTGCCTGCAGGAAGCTCTCGTAGCTGGACAGCATCTGGCTTAGCTGGAAGGAAGAAGCAGCTGGTAATTAATTGAGAAGGCTTCCCAAGCTCCCCCACGTGAAGGGGATACACAGGTGAGCAGGTGGGCAATAGAGGGAAGTCAGCTCAGCCTGCCCAGGGGAGGGCACGCTGGCCCCCAGGGAGTGCCAGCCCTCTAGGCATGCCTGGGAATGAGCTGGGATACCCAGAGCAGCCACCGGCATTCCTGGGAGAGAATAACACCGTGTGCCATGGCCCTGCTGGCTGCCAGAGGTGAGGGGAGCCCAGTCCCACATCAAACCAAGCTCCAGTGGAGCAGTGCCAGGGGTTTACCCACCTCCACCACGCTCAGGTGGGCAATCAACCATCCAAGGGCCAGGGCAGCACACAGGCTTCTCACCCCAGCAGGGCCTGGCACCACCCCAAAGTGCCAAATCTGTCCCAAGCACCTCCAGCACCCACCATTAGTCTCACATCTCCCTCCAGCTGCCGGTAGCTCTCCGAGTTCCTGCTGCCCAGAGCCAGGGTGTAAGTGATTCCCAGCAGTCGGAATTGCAAGGGCAGCACGTGCACAGGCTGTGTGGGAAAGGGGAGGCTGGAGGGGTGGGATGCAGGGGGCTTTGTCCCTGTGGAGCCAGGTACACCCTTTGTCATCAGCTCAGCTGGGCTGACGGCCTCTCTGGTGGCTGCAGGGAGATGTTCCATGGCTGTGGAGGAGTGCTGGGAAGCGCTGAAGCCACTGGACATGACGTGGGCATTGAGGGTCACTTCTGTAGGCACAGGCAGGGTCTGGGAGCTGAGCAGGGAGCAGGCTGCATGCCCAGCTCCAGAAGTCAGCAGGCAGGATGGAGATGTCACACTGCTGGCAGTGACAGCATGGTGCCCAGGCTCAGAGCCACGCTCCAGAGCTGGGTTTGTGGAGCAGGGGACAGAGCCTGGGCTGGCAGGGGTGGGCCCCAGAGCTCCTGCTGGAGTGGGAACAGGTGCCACTGATGCTGTTCTGGGCTTGCTGTGCCTGAATGCTTCCATCACAAACGTCTGTCCAAGCTCTGGGATGGCACCAGTGGCTGTAGAGCTCATCCCTGTCACGGTGGGACCTGCAGGGCTGGGAGCCCTGGTCTGAACTGGGGAGGCTGCAGTGGACAGTGCAGGGGGAGAAGGCCACTCACTCTGTGTCCCCAAGGTGACAGCAGGAGCCCCAGACGCTGCTGTGGGAAGGGAGGAAGCCAGCATGTCCTGACTGTGGGCACCAGGAGCTGCTGCAGTGGTAGGAAGTGATGCCAGGACTGCATCCAGGAGCCCAGACCCATTTCCTGGGACCTGGGCCAACGCAGCATCCACCAAGGGAGCAGCTTTCCCAGGCAGGGCAGTGCCAGCAGTGCCCCAGAGCCCCTCAGGGTGCAGCTCAGCCGAGCTGGGTGTCCCTTGTGCTGGCAGAGCAGAGGCCGCTGCCTGCTCTGCCGTGCTGGGGCTCCAGGAGCGAGCATCCATAGGGGTCCACGTGGGGACTTCAGGGGGAGCCTGAGACCCTGCAGCTGCCCCACGGAGTGGCACCGTGCCCAGCCTGAGCTCTTCCCCGTCCCCAGATCCAGGCTGCCACTGCTGGCGGGTCTGAGACATCCGTGTGGCCGCAGTCTGTGTCCCCAGGCTCCGTCCCCCAGCACCTGTCCCAGGGGTCACAGCTCCTCGGAGCCCTGGGGAGCAGCCCGAGGTGAGGAGGTCCCCACGTGCTGTCACCAGACCATCGCCCAGCCCTGGCTGGGAGGCTGACGGGCCCAGGGGAGCCCAGGTGACAGCAGCCAGAGCGCCCAGGCCGGAGGGGACAGCAGCAGCACACACACACACGGCCAGCAGCAGGAAGGCCCCACACCACAGCCTGTGGGCAGGGACAGCCCCACAGGCAGTGGGACACAGCGCTGTGCCCACAGCCCCTTCTCTCTGGGCACGGAGCAGCGCTCCTGGCTGCAGGGCAGCAGCCTCCGGGGGGCTTGGTGGTCCAACCCCTCGGCTCATCTTGGGAGAGGCCACGGTGAGAGCCCAGCTGTGGAGAGGGACAGCAGGAGATTCAGGGTGGGTCTCTGCAGCTCCCACATCCCAGTGCCTGCCCCATTCCCAAGCTTCCCACCCCCAGAATGCCTTATTAAAACATCTTCTTTCTCAGCAGTCTCATAGCCCAGGAAAGCCTGTGCCAAGCCTCAGCACCTCCTGGGAAGCTCCCAGTGCAGTACACAGTTGTAAACAGCCCCAGGCTCAGACATTACCTCAAGTCCCTGCCCCAAACACCCACCCTGTCCCCAGAAACCTCCCCAGGGAGGGCCAGGCCCAGCAGTACCCCTCACCTAGCAGCACCCCTGGAGAACACCAAAGGCTAGCCAAGCCCTGGCTTTTATCTGGTTTTTCAGGTGGGGTGGATGTGGCTCCATTCCAGCTGCTCCCAATTAACACAAACTCATCTGCACTCCCCCAGGTGCAGCTGGAGGGGGCTCAGCTTCCCTCTGCTCCTCACTGAGCCCTTGGCAGCTGAAGGTGGGGGTGGGCCTGCCCCTCCAGGCAGGATGATCCCCAAACCTGCTGATGCTCCCCAAAACACCCTGTTTGTGAGGTTGTGGAAGTGTTCACTTGCTGGGCTCCACTATTTGGGGCTGAAAAGTGTGGATTGCAGCACTTGGCCTTTGGGATCAGGCAGATTCTGTGCCTGACAGAGGCTCCCAAGGCAGAGGGACCCCCACTGGGTCAGCCCAGGCTGCACCCCTGAGCACCCCACACTCTCCTGCCCAGTTTCTGATGCTCAGACATCCACCAGCAGCCTCTTCCCAGGCTGTCACGCAGGGGCTTTGTGGAGGCTGGGATGTGCTCCTGTGATGGCATCTGGGACACTGGATCCAGCCTCCAGTGCTGGCACAGAGGGGCTGCACACAGCACTTGTGGCTTGTTGCAGGGAGGAGTGGGCAAGTGCACGGGTGTGGGATCTGGGGAGCCTCCAGCCCAAGGTCCTGCTGTGCCCACACTGGGAAGCAGAGACAGAAGCAGGGCATGTCTGGAAACAAGCCAAACTCTTTTAAACCAGGTGAGGCAACTCTTCATATTCTTACAAAAAAATTAAATAAAGGGAAGGAACTTTCTTCCCCAGAACCTTATATATGTTATAAAAACAACATTATTAACAAACATCGCTTCCCAAATCCCTGTGCACAGTGAGTGGCAAGGGGGAGTGAGAACAGCAACATCCCCCTTACCCATCCCATCCACAACCACCCCATCCCCACAGAAAACCAGGAAGGCACCCACAGAAATCCCCCAGTAGCAAACACACCTTTTGGCTACACTAAGTACAGTTTGGGTAGAGTCTTTCCCCCCCTCCTCTGTTTTCTTAGTTTAAAATAAATATTCCCTGTAGTGAAATACAAAATTTGAACAAGCCTTATTTTGTTCCTCCATGCCCTGCAGCAGCTTGGAGAACACCTGAGTGATGAGTTTTCAAGGCCTCTGCTGTGTACGCTGCTGCAGCCCCCCAGGGTGAGGGGAGTCCTGGGATGCCCACATCCCTCCTGGGATCCCTTTGGGCTGAAAAGATCCCTCCTTCCAAGGTCTGGCAGCATCACTCCCTTCTCTGCACCTTTAATCTCCACCAAGGAGGTCCCTGAACGTGCATCTCCCACATTCTCCTTTGGGACAGGATCTGGGATATAAAGTGATTTTTTTTAAAGTGAGGTTTTCTTTTCTTTAAGAGTCTTTAAATCTTTCTTGCAGCCTTTTAGTTTAAATAAAAAGACACGTATAAATTACTGTATTTAAAGAAGAAACAACCCAAAACACATGACCTGAAGGCAGCAGTTCCTTATAAAGGTAAATCCAGAACATTTGTAAAATGTCTTCATTTTTAACAAAAAAAATCTAAGTCCTGGGACTATGGAAGTCACGATTCCCTTGCCCTTGCTGTTGGTGCCAGGTCTTTGTGGCACTTAAAGTGAAAATTCCAGAGGAAGGGGATGTTTATTGGGATAATAACTTGGGATTATTTTGGGTTTATTGGGATAAATATTTGGGATAATACCCTAAACAAATTGGGATGTAAAGCAGGAGGGGGGATTCAGAGGAGAGTGGTGGGATGTCATCACTGCAGTCCCTTTTTCCAAGGCTGGGGATGGTGTTGTGGCCATTTCCATGCTTCTCTTGCTCCAGCTGCACTGGAACTCCAGCCATTCCCTCCCAGATCACCAGGGCAATCGTGGATGGAGGCAGGAGATGCACTAAAAGATGATCCATTCAAAGAAAAGCAGCTCCAGCTGCTGTGAGGGGCTCAAGCCCATGTCCATGGGCCTGGATAACCCACCAGCGTCCCTGTGTGTGTCCCTGGAGCACCACTGAGCTGTTCTCCACCCTGAGCAGCATCCCCAGAGGGTCCCTGGCAAAGTATCAAAATCCTGGAGGATCCTGATGCTGGTGGGAGCTGAGCACCTGTCTGCAGGGCTGCTGGTGGTCTCAGCATCCACAGCTCTGGGGACTCGGGAGCTTCCCATTCCCATCATCATTTGGCTGTTGCCCTGGACACATTCCTCAGTGTCTCCTTTTCCTTGATCTGTCCGTGGCTGTGGCTTTGCGATCAGCTTTCAGTGCCCCCACGCCAGGGCTACCTGGGAGAGGAAGGAGTGGTTAGGGGAGGCACACCTCCACATCCCCAATATTCCCCGCTCCAGCCCGGCCCAGGGAGTGGAGCCTCCCCAGGGAGCTGAAGCTGCTCATCATCACATGAAATCCACACACATACACCTCCACAAAATGACAAAACAAATCCCATAAATTCCTATAAACCCACGTGGAAAAGGGCTACCTACTTGGAAGGCTGCTGGCCAGTCTCTGAGCTTGAACCTGGAAGAAATAAAGTTGTTGGTAATGGCCTTGAGCGACAACAAAAGGTTATCTGGACACAGCAGTGAAGTCACCAGCTGGATGGGACAGCCATGGGTGGCAGGTCTGACACTGCACCCTTGGATGGGCAGAGGTGGCCTGGAACTGACTGAAACCTCCTTGATACCCCCAGGATGAGTTTTCTCCCTTCCAGCTCAAACTTTCCCCCTCCACAACCCACAGAGGAAAAGCTGGGCAGAACCATCAGCAGGACAGGGATGCTGAGGAACCTTTGGATGCTCCCCAAGAACAGCAGCACCTGGAGGGCTCCAATGTGGCTGGAACATCCCTGGGAGAGCCCCAGAGACCCATCCCCAGGCGATGCCGGGCTACCTACCGAGCTGCTGCTGGATGGAGTTGTACCAGTGGAGGTTGAGCAGGTCGGGGTAGATTTCGGGAAGCTGCTTGAGCGCCAGGAGCTTCAGCATGCGGGAAGTGCAGCTCTTCAGCTCCAGGTCCCTCAGGTGCTTCTCCTCTGAGAGGGTGGTGGGACGCAGCTCCACCTTGTGCTTCTGCAGCACTTGGTCCACAAAGTTCCCAGGCAGCTTTGGGAAGAGCTTCTCCTTCACCACGTGGATGGGGATGAAGATGGCTCCCGCCCGGACAACATGGGGGAAAGGGCAAGCGAACATAAAGGTCTTCAGCTGGGACAGCAGGTTGGTGAGGAGCACGGCCACGTCCTGGAAAGCCAGCCAGATCTCCTTGCCATTGCTGGGCTTCTGAGGATTGGGAGTCTTGGAGCCATTTTTGGGCAGGGATTCGGGCATCTCTCCCAGCTCTTCTGCCGGCTCAGCCATCTCCAGCCACTGCCGCAGCAGCTCTGGGGAGGAGCGGGACACCGAGCCCGAAATCGTGTCACAGAGTGAGGTGTGCAGGGTGGTGAAGTACTGTCCTGAGGGGGTCTGTGCGGGGACACCACCAACCTGCCTGGCCACCGAGACCTTCTCCTCCCCCGGGGCGGCAGGGGCTTTGGGAAGCAGGCCCTGGGGAAGGTTTGGGCCAAGGATGATGCTGAGCTGGGGGCCAGGCAGTGACAACGGAGCGATGCTGGATGGAGAGGAGGCTGGGTGAGCCGGCGTGGGGGTGCTGCTGGGGGGGCTGGGCTGGGGGGCGTGGGGGCTGCTATCCTGCCGGGGGGGCTCAGTGCTGGGCGGGAGGGAGGGCAGGAGCTTGTATTTTTGGAACATGAAGGTGGCTGAGCTCTGGAAGCTGCTCCTGTCCCCGGAGTCCGCCTCAGGCAGCCGGGACTGTGCACCCTCTCCCAACTCCACCTTGCCCCCTGCAGCCTCTTTCTCCTCCTTATCCTCTCGGTCCAGTGTCCCCTCCTCACACCCTGTGGGTCTCTGGGTGTCCCCAGTTTCTGCCAGTCTCTTCTTGAAGCTAAGGTCCAGCACCATGTCCTCAGGTGGCGGCTCCTCAGTGCCCACCCCGTCAGGGCTGCCCTCCTGAGACTCCAGCTCTTGGGGCACAGGCTTTGGCTTTTTAGGGATGCTCCTGTAACAGCTGTCCCCTTGGCTCTGCACTGCACCATTGCCCGACCTCAGGCTGGACACCACCGAGACGTCTCTGAGGGCAACAGGCTCCTGGCTGCCACCCGTGTTTTGGGGTGAAGAGTCCTCCCACAGATGCTTCCTGCAGAACAGGATGGGGTCTGAGCCCTTGGCCATCTCCAGGTACTCCTGGAAAGGTGCCAGGCTGAAGACGTTGTGGATCACAGGCATAGGTGGGGAGGATGACAAAGCCTTGGTGTCCCTCAGGTCTTCCAGCCCCTTGGTGGGGGTCACAGACGGAGAAGGGCGGATGAGCTCCTCGGCTGGATCCTTGACCTTGTAGGCATTTCCTTCCCCTGGTCCCCCACGGGAGGTGTCCTGAGGGGCTGGGCTGCTGTTCCTCCTCCATGGGTACAGGGGCTCCTCCTCCTCTTGCCTGGGTTTTTCCCAGCTCCCTCCTCTCTTGGGAGAAGTCTCAGGGAGCCCACCAGAGCCCCCAGAAAGTGTCTCTGAGGCGCAGACAGGCTGGAAAGCATTGCTGTGCCTCGGTGCTGCTGGCCACTGCAGACTGTCTGCCCCATGCTGCTCACACCCCGGCTCCCTGCTGGGAAAGGAGGCGTGGAACACGGATGTATCTCCCGGGCTGATGGCAAACCCTGGGTACCTGGTATTCCTGGGCAGCTCAGCATCCCTGGGCAGCTCGGCATCCCTGGGCAGCTCGGCATCCCTGGGCAGCTCGGCATCCCTCAGCACTGCCCCCAGCCTGGCACCCACTGTCCTTGGCACGTAGGGCTCCAGGGGGCTGGGAAAGTAACTCCTGGGGGCTTGGGTCTTGAGGTAGGTGCCAGGAAAGGGCTCCCTGCTTCCCACATAGCCAAAGCCAGGCAGGGCACTGGGCTCCCCCACTGTGGGAGCTGGAGAGTGGTAGAGGGGACCAGCTCTGTGGGGTGACAGTGGGTAGGGGGGGGGTGGGTAGCACATTGCTGACCGCTCCCAGGTCACTGGGCTGGCATCAGGTGGCTGGAGCTTGGGCCAGGGGTCCAGACTGAGGCTGGGGACCTCCAGCACCTTCATCTGGCTCTGGGCAGAGGAACAACTTGCTTCCAGGAACGGGGTGCTGGGGGGTGGCCTGTATTTATCAAAGGTGACACAGTAGTGGGGTAAGGCAACGGGGGAGCCCAGCTGCTCCTTGGAAGGCAGGGCCAGGCTGGAGGGCAGCGGCGGGAGGCTGTGCTCAGAGCAGGGACCCCTCCTGTGGGGCTCGCTGGGGTGTAGAGGGTGGGTGGTGGGGGGCAGGGTCCACTTTGCCTCCCCTGGTCGCTGCTGCAGACTCTCTGCTTGTGTTCCCAGCAGCAGAGCCATCCTGGGAGCTAGGAAGGAGGCAGGGGTTCTGTACACCGGCTTGGGGACTGCTAGAGGGGCTGCCTTCTTCACCGCCACCAGCTTCTTCACCGGCAAGGGGCACCTAGGGCTGTCCAGCTTCTTCCTGGCCATCAGCTGCTCCTGGCTCAGGCTGTCTTTGCTCTTCTGGGCGTCCGGGGATTGCAGCCTGGTGCCCGGGCTGTCTGCTGGGTACAGCAGGAAGCCCAGTGGTGGCCCCTCGGCCGGCACGGGCTGGCTCAGGGCACCGGAGCCGTAGTGCAGGTAGGCGGGCGCGGGGCTCCAGCCAGCCGGGGGCTGCTCGGGACCCTCAGGGCTCTGCAGCGGGCAGGCAAAGTAGGAGCCCTTGTAGCTGAAATGGTTTTCAGAGCCAGAGTGGGGCACGGGGCTGGATGTGCCTGGGATTTTGCTGGGCAGGAAGCTGGCGGTGGGCTCCAGACGAGGTAGCTTGTTCAAAACCACGGGCTCTGCAGACTGCGAGAACCGTTTTGAGGCCATTTATATGATGGTGCCGGTGTCCCCACGCGAGAGGTGCGCTGGCCTTCCTGGATAAGAGAGATAATAAGCCATGAGCAAAGTGAAGTCCCCACAGCCAGCAGCCTGTGGTGGCACAAGATGATAGAAGGTTACAACCCACCCCACAAGGTGAGGGTTGTCTTGGTTTGAAAAGACATATGTCTGCTAAGGAAGGCAGAAACCTCCCTTGAAAAAGAAAACATAAAATGTAAACCACTGCCTCCTCCGAATTATTATAATCTCAAAATCAAGGTTCTCTCAGACAAAGATATGGGAATAGGAATACCAGTTCTTTATTAAGGAAATTAAAATTAAAACGCAGTAGTACAAAAAAAAAAAAAAAAAAAACCAACAAAAAAACAACTTGCTGACAGAGTCAGAATACAACCTGACACTCTGTCGGACAGGATGTTGGGTGCAGACCCATTAAATGTTGGCTGCAGTCCTCCTGGAGTGACAGATGGTTCTGTTGAAGAAACGATCCTGTAGAAGGGTGTAGTTTGCCTCTGAAGGTCCAGTGGTGGGGTACATGGCTCCAGTCTCTGGGAATCCAGTGGAGAAAGGCTGCCTGCGGTGTGCGGAGTCTCCGATTATATCCAGGGAGAAATGTTTGGCTCCTCCCCCCAGTGGAGCATCTCCCAGTGGGATGATGGAATTTTATCAGTCATGCAGTGAGACTCAATGGCCCATTAACAGAAGATTTTCCCCCAGAGGGAGGATGGGTCTTAGAATAGATAAAGAACACTGCCCCACCTGGTTTTAACAGCTGGTAATAGAATAGACACTTCTGGTTACATCTTGCATTGCAACCCAAGACAGGGTACTCAGGTTCTTTTTAATTGATCCCCTGGGGCTGATTAGAATGGAACAATGCTGAATGACTGGTGTTTATGAATATATATAAAAACATGGGGTTTATTTTAGAACAATTTGGTTGCAGTGGAGTCGTTTTTGTTATTACCTGCTGTAATAGAACAACACAAAAGCATAAAAATAACACTTCAAGAAATGCCTAAGGAAAAGAAAGGGAAGGGTAAGAGTAGAAAGATCCCACCACCCTTCCAACAACACCGGGAGGTTACAATTCTACTGCCATGATCTATCTGGGGTGAGGGAAGCGCAGGAAACACCAAGTTCCATGGGTTAATATAATGCTCAGGCTCGGTGGGAAAGCCCAGGTACCTGCCCTGGGGCAGGGAGTTTTACCCTGGGTGATGTCATGCCGTGGATACACCTCAGAGTTTTTGTTTTCCTGTGACACCTTTTAAGACCTGGGTACAGCTGGTGCATGACTCAATTATGGCCCATCCGAGGGGATGAATAACTGCGATAAAAGTTAGAGATAAGTCCCAGTAAGGGGAGTTTTCACAGCTGAGCCACTCTGTGTAGGGACATTGTCAGGACCAAAAAGCACCATCCCACTTGGCAGGATTTATCTCTTATCAGCCTCTTCCCTTATCTTGTCCAACAGGCAACTGCAGGCTCTGATGGGTGTGCACCCATCCGCACCTGGGCAGTTCCAGCACATGCTCCATTGTTTGTGGCATTAACCATTAACATTCCAGCCTTTTACACCACTCAAACATTCTGCCAGTTCTCTTCTGCTGCTGCTCACTCCAAATCTTCTCCCATGGTGGTGATTTTCAATATAATGGGACAGAAGGTCATGTGACTTTTCTTTTTTTATTAGTTATTCTATTAGTTTTGCTGTTAATATCTCTGAAAAATGTAGCTTTATCATCATAAATTTCAAGCCTCCTGAGGCAGTGCGTGGAAGGTTAGTACCTATCTTTTTTGTTCCAAATATGCATAAATCCTTGCACTAACTCCCAGGCTAAGTTTGGTTGAGACATAGTTACACTTCCATAAGATAAAAAGGTTTTCCCACTTTTTTTTTTTCCCCAAGTAAAAAGACAAAATAAATATAACAAAAATTAAATTAACAATGTATAAAAGTTGTTTGACTAATAGTTGGTCTCCAAATGAGTTACTTTTGATGAAAACACAAATAAGTATAAATAGCTGATAATCTTAGCACAAATTTTTAGTGTATCAGGCAGGCCTCGGATCAAGATGGGGAATCTCTGCACATCTGAGTCCATTTCCACAGGGGAATGTCACTGCAGATCCAATAACTGTGTGTGCATTAATCAGAGACACACAGTCTTTTGTACACTTTCTACAGCCAGTCGTGAGGGCCGGAATTGTGCAGGGACCTCCCCTTTCCACAGGATCCGATCCCTCCCTGCCAGTGGGGGGAGTCCTGGTGGTGCATTTCTCCATCTGTCCCCTTGGAAAAGCCCTGGAAAGCTCTGGCTGCCTTTGTTCCTAAGCTCAAACAGTGTCTGTTGCAGGCAGCAGGGAGCAAAGCTGAGTCAGCTCAGGTGAGGAGCTACCAGACATAGACACAGATTGCCCAAAATTCCCATCCCCGGCTTCACCTGGTAAAGTAAGGTGAGGTTTTTACCCCAAGGCAGCAGCTCAGCCTCTCCCTTAGGAGATTTGGGGCTGCTGTGGGGTGGGCGCTGGCCCGCAGTGACAGGTGGTGAGTGCCAGCAGGTGGAGCTGGCAGCCTGTCCCAGGCTGTCCCAGCACTGCCCTGCATCCCTGAGAACCCCAAGTGTTCTCCGAGCACTGCCTGGCATCACCCAGCATCTTCTGAGCATCCCACTGAGATACCTGACCATCCCCTGAGCCCCAAGAGCACCACTGGACCATCAACCAGGATCCCCCAGCATCACCTGAGCATCCTGTACGTCACCCAAGCAGCCTCAGGACAAACCTGAGCATCACTCAGCATCCTCCCAGCATGGCCAAACATCACACCCTGTCACCCAGCACAGTCCAGCAACCCCAAGCCCTGGGATGGACTCCCTACAGTATGATCTCTGCCATTTTTGGGGTTTTTTTTTTTCCTTTTGTGGCAGCGTTAGCAGAGAAGCCAAGGAGGAAATGGAGGAAGAGCACGCGGAGATAAGAAAAAAGCCACATCAACAGCAGGGGAAAGAGAGCAGATATGGGGGGAGACTTGTGGGGGAGATAAGGGAGCGAGCCAGTGGTGGTGCTGCAGCTTTGATGGGAGGGGACCAGAGCTCCCCAGCTCAGCCCAAAACACAACTGAGGCTGCACCCCTCACTGAGCCTTCCTGGTGACTTTCTTCTGCGAGCTTCAGCAATTCATCGCTTCCCAAGAAGGATACTGCTTCCCTGGATTCCTCTGAAAACTCCCACGGGAGCCTCGGTGCTTCCCTCCCTGCTTGCACCCTTGGAAGCAGCTCCCCCACATAATTTCCATCCCCAGGATAAGACCTTGGGGTCATTTCCAAGACATGCAGTACAAATTACATTTGCCAGCACTTAGATCCAGGCAAAACAGCTTCCTTCGAGTTGAAGAAAGCTTGAAGAAAACCCCAGACTGGGTTATTTTCCATCCAAAAGGGATCTCTTGGGAGGGTGGTGTTTGAATCCATCTCCCTGGGAGATGCTGTGTGGGAGGGTGATGCAGGCATGGGATCCCTTCCCAGCTGTGACAGTGTTATGGGTGGACAAGCTAGGCCAGAAATCCAGGATCCTGTGAGTCCTGACGTTTCCTCATTGCTTCTTTCCCTTTCCCCAAAGCCTCGGGGATCTGCAACTCCCCACCGTGGGGATATTGTGACACTGGCACTGCTATTACCACGGGATCGGGTGACACCACCGAGCACGATGCAATCGCCCTGTTTCACCTAGCTCCGAGTTCAATTCTGGCTGGAGGGTTGCAGAGCAGGACGAGTGATCCCACTGCAGCGGCCGGAGCCAGGCACAGGGATCGTCTGACAGGGTTGAGCTCATTAACCAGATGAGGGAGAGGGGCTCCCGCTCTCCATGAAATCCACAGGGACTTTGCCCAACCGGTGCCATTCCCACACCTGTGCCACGCCAGGAAAACTGCTCTGCTTTTGCTGTCACCATCACCTTTTTCCCTCTGGAACTATCCCTCTTGCAGCCAGCGGGGGAGGAGAGGGACACGTGGGAATGAGCGCGGGTGGGGGGGGATGCTTGGAAGAACCCCAACACATGCAGCCAGTAACTCCGAAACCCTACAGCTGGGTAAAGCAGCGGGTGGAATAAACACAACCCGTTATTCCTACTTTTTAAATATTCTCTTCATCGCCCCCCCCACACCCCCCCCACCCCCTCCTTCCTTCTCAGGGTTTTTTTCCCACAAGGGGCCGTTTGGCCGGGAGGGAGTAAAAGTAAAACCAAGCGCAGAGGGAACACGTGCCACCACCAGCGAAACCTGCCTGATAAGCTCCCGGGGAAGACTTTCGCGTTTTGGGTGTCCAAAAGACACGGGAGAGCTCCCGCTCCTCCTCGGCCGGCCAAGGCCGCTGGGAACACCTCAGACATCTCTTTTGGCTCCGAACAATGCGCCCGTGTGGGTTACCAGCGGGGCACGCAAGCTCCCCCGAATTTCCTCCCCGGGATGCGATGCCCGGAGCGGGAGTCTCTCACCGCAGTCTCCCGCCTCCTCCATCGCCACGTGATGCCAAAAACAGCCGCCAACTCCCGGCCAACCCGCAGGAATCGAGAAATAAAATCTCCTAAACCCGCTGTCAACCAGCAACCCCAGCCCTGCCGAAGTGCTGCGGCACGGGAGGGGTTCCGGAGGTCTCCCCGAAACCAAAGGACTCCACCAGGTAAGGAGGCGGATTCCCGGCCGGCTGCAATCCTGGTTTCACAATCCCGGGGACTTTGGGATCCTGCCGAGGAGATCACCATTCCCATGTCCGGCGGCTTCGGATGAGCTCACCGGCATCGCTCCCCCAAACTTCGGTCATTTGGGGGAACAAACAAGAGGCCTCAGCGGTCCCAGCTCCTTTATTCCACATCTTGTCCCTTTTTCACAAAGTTTGCAGCTCCCGAGTTTCTCCCAGGAGGAGCCTTCCCGTGGACCAAGCCAGCTGCTTTTTAAGCCAGTATCCCCAAATAATGCATGCACCAAGCCATGGCTTGTCTGAGATTAAAACTGAACCCCCCAGGAATATTCACTTTTATTTAAAAAACCCAAAAACTTCACGGAGCATTAAGCAGTCCCCAGAAGAGCTCAGTGACTGCGTCCCCTTCCACTTGGGGGATTAAAACCCCTCCAAAACGCATCGATCCCATTCCGACCCACCGATGTCACTCGCATCCAAGGTTGGCCATGGGCACGGCTGAGACCCCCTCGGTGCTCGCAGGCCCTTGCCAGGACACGAAGTATGGATGTGGCAGGGGTGGGTGGCCGTCCTTCCGTCCCCTCCGCACACCCACGGCCACCGCTTTCGTGTGGGCAACACTCCGGCGACCCCCAAAATAAACCTCTCGCAGGAGCTTGAGCTCACGCTGCGGATCAGCCGCATGATCCAAAGTGTCCATAAATGGGTAAAATCCCGGGATCTGGAGCCTGCAACCCGTTTTTCCTTGCACGGCCCAAGGAGAAGCAGCCGATCCCGAGGAAGGCGTGCAGGGATCTCCCCCTGCTCGAGGGTTTCACCCGCCGAGGGAGCCCCACGGCTGGCTGGGGGTCCCCCCGCCTCATCCCTCCGCTCCACCGCGGCTCCCGCGGGACGCGCATCCTTCCGGCCCCGCACTCACCTGCGGCTGCGGCGCGGTGCCTCCCCCGGCGCATCGCTACGGGCTCGGCTGCGGGGCTCGGCGCCGACGGGGGGAACTGGGGCCCGGTGGCCCTCCTCGGCCGGCAGCCCGCGATGTGCGGAGGAAGTGGGAGGAGAAGGAGCAGGAGGTGGAGAAGGAGGAGGAGGGCTGGGTGTGTGTGGGGGCCGGCCGGAGGAGGGGAGGGGACGGGACAGGACAGGAGAGGACAGCCCAGCCACACGTGCGCTGAGCTGGTCGGGGCTCTGCCCCTGCGCTCGGAACGGGGACTCTCGGGACGGGGACATCCCCCGCCTGACGGGGGACACCCGCAGCCGAGGAGCCGCTGTACGAGGGGTCCCTGTTGCAGCGAGCCCCCCGTTATAGAGGAGGGGCCACATGGGGAGCCCGGGGTGGGGTGGGGGAGGGCGTTATTAAGGGCAGCCCTCATTGTACGGTGCCTCATTAAGGGGACCCCCACTGTATGGAGCCCCCAGTGAACGGGCCACCATTTCAGGCAGTCCCCATTAGCAACTACCTTAGGAAGAAGCGACATTAGGGTGACTCTCCTTACAAGCAGATCCCATTAGGGAGGGACCTCATGATGACCCCCGGGGCAGGTGTTGACGGCGAAGTCACAGCTCACGGAACGGGATGTGGCTGAGGAACGCCGAGAGCTCGGTAACAGCTACGGGCAGCCCAATCCAGTTTAGGGGTCCCCCACGGCCGCCTGAGTAACAAATTGCTCAAAAACACGGACACGGCTCACCCCGACAACGAAGACCCTCATATGTAACATTTTCTGATGAGCAATGCGGCGGTTAATAAAGGCGTGTATCATCTTGAGCCACGAGTGCACCTTAGGCGGAGTCCCCCGCCCTGTATCCGGGCGGATAACAACGTCTGCTTCTTGGAACTACGGCGGTGTTAAGGAGTTTTATTTCCTAATTTCGGTGGCACAGGCAGTCCCCATGTAGAGGATCCCCCATTGCAGCCCATGGGGATTCCCTGTGAAACAGGAGCTCCCCCCTTAAAGAGCACAGAGAAGCCTTCCCCAGGCTGAGCCCATCGGCATGTGGCCGGAGGTCGGGCTCTGGCCGGACACAAATCCCTGTGTCCACAAAAAATCGCTTTTCCATCTCGTCTGCAGAGCCAGGCATCCGCTGGCAGCCTGGGGTGGACTAGGGATGGTTTCTGAGCCCTTCGGAGTCAGTCCCCACCCCAAAGCACAGCCCTTCCTCCTGGATTTAACCCCCGCCAGCCCCAAGCATTAACACAGAGCATTTAGCTAAGGAGTCGGTCTGGAAACATTCATGCAAACATTCCCGGACGAATCATTAACCATCATAAAAGGCACGTAAATATGATTAACCCAGTGACACAGATCCTGGGAGATTAAGTGCGTTGCCCAAGGCCGTGGACTGAAGCAGTGGCAGAGGCTCAGCTCCCTCAGGCACTGAGAAATAAAGATTTCTAAGTGAAAAAGAAATAATTCCACTTTTTTATTACTTCATTGAACTAAGACTGAGAAAGCAGGGTTTGAATTCTCCTCTCTTTGGCCTCACAAGCATTATTTTCTACTTACAGCTTTAATTTACAGAAGTTTTGTGGCAGCAGCAAAGAAAACAAGGAACTGGGAGGAGCTGCCACTGAATTCCCAGTCTCTTGGCTCCAAAGTTTACACACCACTGCTTTGTCTGGAGCTCATCGATCAGGTGTTGCCATTAATATTCTCATTGGTCAAATGGTAATGTAATTAGAGAATAGTTATTACATTCAATTATGAGATATATATCTATATATTATGATATACACATATATTAGTGTGCAACATAAAATAGTTATTATGTATTAAAACAAGCAAATGGGTGGATAATACAGCTTATTATTTGGAGTTACGGGCATTAAAACTACCAGTGTTCATTTTTACCTCACTGAACAGAATGAGAATTCCCTTGAAATGGCAGACAATCCCTTTCAGCTTGAGTTGGCTCATACATTTATATCAATTGAGAAACACCTTTCCTCATCCTGGTTTGGCCATATCCCTGCTGCCAGGCATCCAGCTGGACTCTGAAAGCTAAATTTCAACAACATTTTCTCACTCTTACATTTCTCTGGCGCAGAGGGGAGTTTCTACCTGTTGTCTCAACAAATACCTGAGGTTTCGTTCTTTTTCCTTCTCTCTCAACTTCCCATGTGGCTCAACTCTGCCTTAGTGATTCAGATGGTCTGAACAGGTCCTTGCTGAGGCATCAAACCTGCTGGCACAGAAGACACCATCTTAAAAACATCCCCATTATTTATTTTTATTGTTTTCATTTTTGTATTAATTTTTAAAGACTTGAGAGTGTGTTTTTTGGGGAAAGGTGGGTGGTGATTCCCACTCAGGGCATGGCCATTCCCACTGTTTGCCCCTCCATCCATCAGCATCCTCTGTTTGGTACCTAGTGATGAGAGCAGCCCCAGAATCCCCACAGGGTTGCTATGAGCCCAGGGAGGTGAGAATTTCATCAAATTTGGGCCACGTGGTTTTCAATTTTCTTTTTGAGCCTCAGCATCTCCATTCAATCTGTTGTTTCCTGGGCTTTGGCTCCCTCTAAATGCTCAGGAAACCTGCTGGCTTCACATTGCCACTGCCTGCAGGGTCCCCACATTCCATGTCTGAGGTGGGACACCTCACTCTGGCAGACACAGGGATGTGGGGGCTCCAGATGGGAGTATGTTCCTCCAGGTAGCATTCAGAGTTCATTGCTGCTCCCCAGCCACACCACTTCTCCCATGCCCCAGAAAGGGTCAGTTCTTGTCCCAGCTTTTGCTCCCCAACTTGTTCCGGTGCTAATTAAGCCACTCAGAAGGATTTAACCCCCTCTAGGAGGGCAGAATCCAGAGTGACGCTGGACAGGGGTTCGAGTGATGGAGAAAGGTGGGTGGTTCGCAGCTCACAGGCCTGTCCATCACCTCTTCCTGTGGCAGATCTGTTCAGGAACATCTACCTTCATTCCTTTTCCCTCTTTTTTTCCCCTCTTCTCTTTGATTTGCTTCCCCATAAAGTTGTGCTTTAGGTTCAGAAGAGATCAGCTACTCAACTGATCCCCTGCTGACAGGGAGAAGTGGGATGTAAAGGTCACCTGCAGCAACAAACCCTACAGCTTCCCTCCAAAAAGACCTTGGGTTTGCCTCTAAGGAGTAGACAACCCCTCTCCATGCCTCAAATCATTTGACAAGCCTCCAAATTATCCAACAGAACCAAACCAGAGATGGTTTCTTTGGCTCAGGAGCCACTTGGAGGGGAGTGGGAGATGGATGGGGTCCTCCTCTACAGCTGAAACATGTCCACACATGGAATGAAGGCAAATCCTCTTGGTCCCCAAAAAAATCCCACACATATGTGGATATGATATGATATGATATGATATTCTTTTCACAAATATTAAAATTAATGTTATGCATATAAGGTTAGAAAACTTTGTTGTATTAATATAGTTCCTTCTAGTTCTATTATTGATGAAAATTAGAAATAGTGGTATAATATATATATATATATGTTAGGCAGTTAGCATGGTATTAAAGCAAAAACTACTTTTGTTTATATAACCCAGAGACTGAAAAAGACAGCCAGAACCCCCCCTGCATTCTTCAATTATCTTATTCAGATGAAGAAAGTGGTGACCAGTACTCCAAAGTAGGAATTTATGGAACCTCTGTTATCAGGGACTGTAAGACTCAGTGGAGTCGAGAAGATTGATCTATTGGGGAAGGGGTGATTTAAAACTAAACAAAAGAACATCTAAAACTTAAGAGGAATGTTTGAATCATGTATGAGAATTTATGAATATGTAATAGGGTTCTGTTTTTAAGGGACAATCCTTTGTTAGTAAAGTGTGCTCTCTTGGCTGAATGCTGAGGCACCCGGCTATATTTGTACATTTTACTTTATTTCTATCTTCTAATTGTCTTTCTATTAAACTTCTTAAATTTCATATGAAAAATATGTGAACCTCGTTTTTCACAATCCCCAAATTCCATCCCTCTACAAGGAATTTGTGACATTGGCACCTGTTGCTGTGTCCAAGAGGACAAGAGGGTACTTTATCCCACCCCACCATCCCCAGGGCTCCAGCCAAGGACTCCCTCCTTAGCAGTGACACCTTGGAGAGATATCGTCGGCGGCAGCAAGCTCCCCTGATGAGGCTCTAATTAGCGAGCTAATTGGAATAAGAGAGCTGTACAGACAGTCCCAATTTCCCACACACAGTCTGGCTGGAGGAGGGGGGCAGAGGAAAACAGGGATGAAGGGATGGAGTGGTGGGGGGGAAGGATTAGGGAGGGCTCTAGGGAGGGCTCCCAACAGCTGCTATTGTGGTTAAATTTAAAGTACACTTATCGTGAAGAGAGGGACTCCTCATCCCACTCATTTCTTATGGAGCCAAGGAGTTGAAGCCTTGGAAGCTGCCAGCTCCTTCCAAGACTTTAAGTGAGTGCTGGCAGTGAAAGAAGACCCAAAAATCCTCTGAAATACCCAGTCCCACATCCCTCCCTGTCCTGGAAGTCACATCCCATGCTCTGAGAGTTTTTTGGGGTGGGTCTTTACAGCTTCTTCCACCCCTCTTTGCTCTGGATCTCCTTCTATCCAGGGTAGGATCCCCCTTTAGACTGAACCAGGAGAAAATGAGGTTCGCAACTGGACAATTTTTGAAGTCCGTTACAACCCAAACCATCCTATGATTCTAACAAAATATGGCATGGACAAGTCTGGTTGCTCATCCAACATTCTTCCAGCTTTATCTCCCTCAAAACTTTGATTTGGATCCTGCCAGGGCCTGTGGGATACGGGGTAATAAATAATTATTAAAGCGGTTAAACTTACTCTCACCAGAAGGGGCCTGAGGGCTGAGGGGCCGGCGGGAGTGGGGGGGGGGGGGGGG